TTGATAATATTAATATCATATACTATTAATATTGATACTATTAATATTGATACTATTAATATTGATACTATTAATATTGATAATATTAATATTGATACTATTAATATTGATACTATTAATATTGATAATATTAATATTGATACTATTAATATTGATACTATTAATATTGATAATATTAATATTGTTACTATTAATATTGATACTATTAATATTGATACTATTAATATTGATAATATTAATATTGATACTATTAATATTGACACTATTAATATTGATAATATTAATATTGATACTATTAATATTGATAATATTAATATTAATACTATTAATATTGATACTATTAATATTAATACTATTAAATTAATACTAATATTAATAATATTAATAATCATATCAATTATTATACAATTTCCTACAATCGTCGTGTCGATTTTCGCGAGCAATCCGAGCGCGAATTAGGGAGAAATTGCTGTACTTGCCAGCTTAGATTTAGATTATCACTAACAGAGGAGACGTTTAAAAACTGCAAATACCTCTTAATTGTGCCAAAGATAACGCTCTAGTTTTTACTTTTCGCGAACGAGGTGAACGCAATAACAAAGAATTCATACTTTCCTACGTAGACGATAACGGTAACGTATTATTATACATACGTAAGCGAAATACATGTAACATGTAAAACACGTAACGTTTAACACTTAGAGAACGGGCCAGTGTTTCTGCCTGAAGAAAAAAAGCAACCATATCATTTTAAATTGACACGTTAGAAATGAAATTATGGTACGAAATTGACGCCTGTTGGCACAAGTGCAATAATTGCAATTTTAACAGTTTATTTTTTTCTTGTTTTTCTTTTTAAGTATAAACGAATCTGATACTGTCACTAATTATTATTTCGAAAAATGCTGTAACAATCTTTCTTTTTAGTTGCGCCCGAGAGTCGTCATTCGCCACAATCAAAGGGTTGATCGCAGCCCCGTCGATTAATCGATTATTCCCACCGTTTATTTATTCGCATCGTTCGGGCAATAAAAAAAGAAATATTTGTAAACAATGGTCGATTTGTTCCTACGTCGTATTCGTCGTACAAGTTGCTTGTTGCACGGTAGCGGGATTAGTTCGAACGATTTCGCAGTAATTGTTCGCTGTCTAAACAAACAAAAAAATCTAGTTTATTTCCATATCGAATACGCGGCGCGCGATAAAACTTTTAAATAAAAGAGAGAGAGAGAGAGAAACGAGCAGTATAGCGTTAAGCCTTAATTAATAAGCGTGTTAAATTGTCAAGCGTTCGCGGATATGAGTGTGCGCGATTTATCATGGAAAGCTTTTGAACGAAATTAAATCGATCGTCGTGTTAACATTATATTAACTATTAAGCGAGAAAGTACGATAGAAAGTGAATTTTTATTTAATTCTATTTCAAGATGGAGAACCAATGATTTTTCATCGCGATGTTTCATCATTATGTTTTATTATGCAGAATAAATATTTTGCATTACGGAGGCGCGTGTATTTATATTGTCCTGGCATCGATATTATGTTCAAATATAAACAATACGAAATTTGGTGAAGAAGCGAAATGTTTGATACAACTAACAAGACGGATATTATAATATTATTATTATTATTTAATGCGAGTCGTACGTTATCGTAATTGATTCAGTACGAAGTTTCATAGCGTTTGGATGTTATTTATTACTTATTTATTTATTATTTATTTATTTATTATTCTAGAAAGCGGCTCGGCGTACTTCGAACTCATTTTTTGTCAGCGCAGCGCAGCTTTTTCGTTCCAAAAATTCGTTTCAATTTTTCTTCGATGCTTTTATCAATTTTGATTGATCGTGCAATGATTTCCGGTCACAGTTATCGCTTTCGACAAATTCTTTTGCAACCCTCGCGCTATTTGGGCTCGTCGTCTCGCCGAAAGACGAACGACCTCTGTTCCTTTGAAATTTAATTAAGTTAATAATTCAATAGTTCTCGGAGAGCCGGTCGGTTTCCCTTCGATTATCGCGAAATTTTCAATTCGATCGTTATTAAAAAAGCCCCAAATTTTAATGGGGCAACCTCCATGTTTCACTTAGATTGGACTTACAAGAGTTGGTTCAAACGCATCTTCTACTTTCTTTCATATATATATATCATATATATATCGTCTTTTTTAACCTCGACTTCATTTCAAACTTCGATTCATCGCTCGAAATAACTGTTCGAAAAACTTGCTGTAAAACGAAATTCGCTTTTTTACGAATATTCTTGAGCACATGTTAAACGCTTCGCAGCATCGACTTTCGAAATATCTGGCCTTTTACGCGATATACGGCCATGCAGATTGCCTGCATGCAGAAAAATAATGCCATCGTTGTTCTTTTGCAGACAGTGGCTCGGTCCGGGATACCAAGATGGCCGCCAATGCCTGTGCGACAAGTGCAACGAGGGAAGATTTAAGTCGACGCGATATGCTCGCTTGGAACAATGACACTTCGCAAGCATCGTTTATCAAGATCGAAGAATTTTGCAGCGGTGCAGCGATTATTGTCAATGTTATTAATGGACATGACATTCGCGGGGGTTAAAGAGGATCAAATTCAAGGAGAATCAAGAGCACGAGTGCGTACAGAACTTTAAAGTTCTGCGAGACGGTTTCAACAAGATGAAAATAAAAAAGGTAAGCGAGAAATTGTTTATAATATTTATCAAGAGCACTTTAGGCGAACTTAGTGTAAAATTGTTACTCAAAATACGTGTCTGGCAATAATTATAGGGATCGTAACAGTATTGTGTCAAGGGGTCATCCTATACTACCACTAAAAACAGCGGAATAATAGCAAAAGAAAATACAGTTTTTTCCACACTTTTCGTTAAGCACATTAAATAAAATAAGACGCTGGAATCAAGGTTAACTTCAATAATGTTTCCGAATACAACTTCGATAGACGCAATCATGTTGCTCCGCGCAAAACAGTTTGCGCGTTAACTGTAAATCACGGAAAATCGTAATTCCATTGTTCGCGAAACGAGTTCGGATAATCCCGGCGGATCGGTCGATAAAAGGCCGCTCTCGAGACAATTATCAGCTTCCAAGCGACTCCCAAAAGTTCCATATTTCTTCGGTGTTTCATCGTTTCGCGTGTAAACGTAACGCACGTGCTTTAAACTCGAACGGTTCGTTCGAAAGATTTTTTGAAACGAACTATAGTACGGGAGACGATCGAGCGCGTTGCTTCATGCGGGACACCCTGTACATGGAATAACGAAGATCGAATCTGGTGTTTGTGTCGGTTTACATCGGAGAATTTCGCCTCGCCGTTCACTGTTCCAAAAGGTTGCCCTTGTCGATCTAAACAACAGAAAAACCGGCGCGTATCTTCCTCGGGCGCAGTTCGTCAGCAGCTATCTTGCAGGAGTCAACGTCGTCCGGCGAGTCTCGATTTGCTGGGATGTCTGTAAGTGCGACACGTCGAAACTCATTTTATTTCTGCTCGATCCGTCGAATCCGAATAGAACCGGACTCGCGATTAGCCGAGTCGCCGGCGGTTATCCGCGCGTTAATCGCGAAAGTTTCGCCCGAAAGAAGCGTTCCGGAATGAATTTTTTCCCTCGCGGAGAACGATCGGCCGCGTGTCTCCTCTAACTTCGTTCAATCGCACCTCGTCAATGGGCCAGCGAATATCGTCGTTTCCATAATAACGCGCGAAGAAACGATTTTTATTTCGCGTTACGTGTCCGCGCGCGCGCGGCCGTTCGTTGTGTTTCTGTGCCGCGGCGGATAACACCGGGTCACGTCTTCCCGATAGCGAAATTGTTGTCACTGTTGTTCCCGTGGTTCGTTCGTTAACTCGTTCAGTCGGTCGGCCGGTCGACGGAGACACGCTTTCGCCGGAGCTGTTTGACGAGAATCCTCCTCGGTGAATAAATAGGCGCGGCCGACACGCGGAACAATCGCTTTTTCGGGGAGAGAATCTACCGCGTGTTTCTGGGTAAAGCGCTTGCGGAACAATGACTTTGCTCTTCGAGGGATCTGGATTCGGGGTACAATAATTTTTCCCTAATTTTCCTTCAGCTTGTGGACAGAAATGAACAATTTGGGGAGAGGAGATACGATTATCGAGCCTTGCGCCTCGTTTTTATAATTGTTGACAACTGGCAGTTATAAAAGTGATATTTGATGATAAAATATTATTTGATAATGTTTGATAATATTTATTTGATAATAGTTGATAATATTTGATAATATAATAATATAATATAATATCTGATAATATTTATTTGATGATATTTATTTAATAATATTAATTTAATAATATTTATTTGATAATATTCGATAATATCTAATAACATTTGCTAACATTTGCTAGCATTGATAATATTTGATATTTTCCTGAACAGTTGCAGTTGCTCCAGGCAAGTAGAACAGAACCACTTATAACAAATTTTGCCTGTGGAAGCATTCCTGTGTTCAGAGAAAGGAATCTCGAGACCTACGTGTATAACGTGCCGGAAGAATAGAATCTGCACCGACATCGAATCACAGGTGAGATATAAGCACAAATCAGATATTTCCGAATCGAACCGTCCATTCTAGTATTTCAGTACATACATAGGGTGTCCCAAAGTTATTGTACAAGCAAAAAACCGAAGGGTATATATATATATATATATAAAATATTTTATATCGTAAAAAATTTCCGTTCTCTTTCAGACGCTTTGCCAGCCTAGGATGCCAAGATGGCCATCAACGTTTTTGCAACAAACGTAACAACGGAAAACATGAGCCGACACGATATGCTCGCTTGGGTGAACGAGACGTTGCAAGCATCGTTCATCAAGATCGAGGAATTGTGCAGCGGCGCGGCTTATTGTCAATTTATGGACATGCTGTTCCCGGGTAGCGTGCCCTTGAAACGGATCAAATTCAAGGCGAATCAGGAGCACGAGTACATACAGAACTTTAAGATTCTGCAAGGCGCTTTTAGGAAGATGAAAGTGGAGAAGGTGAGCGAATAAGAATAATAAGAATAAGAGTAATAATAAGAAGAAGAAGAAGAAGAAGAAAAAGAATAATAATAAGAATAAAAATAATAAGATTGCATTTCCGTATTTATCTTTGTTTTTCACTCTGTTCGACAAGTTAATAAAAGTTTGATCATTATTTGCAGATCGTTCCCATCGATAAGCTAGTGAAAGGCCGGTTCCAAGACAATTTCGAGTTTCTGCAATGGTTCAAGAAATTCTTTGACGCAAATTACTCTAGAACGGAGCCATACGATGCTCTGGCCGTAAGATCAGGGGACACCATGGGACGTGGCGGACCACCTATCAGTAATCCGAAGCGCGCCGTTTCTCGTGATGTTTTACATAAAGCGCCAGCTCGAGTCGGTACATTGTTATATATTCTTTTCTTATTTATATTGCATTCGATTTTATACCACTGAACGTAATGCCAAGAAATCTCTTGTTAAGTCAACAATATATAAAAAAAGACAGTCGTACACAATATGTCGAACATCGACTTTCTTCTGATTCGCTATAAATTATTAATTAAAGGACTAAAAGCTGTCTGACTTAAATAACGCAGGACAAAAATTTAACCCTTCAGGTGATGGAGCTACGTCCGTTGCGCAGACAAGTAACGCCAAGCCTGCAAGCAATAGTAATTATTTATTTATTTCTATTATTTTATGCTCGTTTTTCTTATTTCCTTTTTTCTGTTTCGTTGTTTCACCGTTTTTCGGAAGAGGATATTCATACAAATCAATTTATTAGAACGTTGGAAGATTTGCCAAAGAATTTTGTTTATTTAACGAATTAAACAAGTACATTTTTAAGCGTATCGTTAAATTGCTGCAATAAAAATTCGAGAAATTCTGTACAAATTTTTTGCTAATTTTTTACTAATATTAATCTTATTATTTGCTAATATTTTGCACAGAATTGTTGCGGCTCAGAATCAGATCGTTCATATTGTTGATCAAATATTATGTTTCTCGTTATTATATTATTTTGTTGTTGTTGTTAAGTACTCTTTCGTACACGTAGTATTTAATATCCACGTAAACATAGTATCGTTTATTATTGTTAAATATGTGATATTGTTTCTAGTGGTGTATCAAATGAACGACAAATCGTAACAATCTGTTGAACTTTTCAATCTAGTTAATAAAGTATCGGCGCCACGTCCGCCAGTAAGAACGGGCCCCGTCGGTAACCGTGGAGACAATGAAAAAATTGAAGAACTCCGTTGTCAGGTATTATCATAGTTATAATATTGTCTCGTTCCAAAATCGATGAAATCACAGGGTGTTTCGGGGTGTTTCCGACCAAACTTTAGTATATTATTACAGTATTATATTATATTACAATATATAATGTATAGTATATTATTGTAGCATTATATTATATTGTAATATATTATTATAGTATTATATTATATTTTAATATATCATATATAGTATATTATTATAGTATTATATTATATTATAATATATCATATATAGTATATTATTATAGTATTATATTATATTATAATATATAACATATAGTATATTATTATAGTATTATATTATATTATAATATAT